CGTCAGCCTGTTTGCGCAGCTGGGAAGGGGAAGGTGCTGAAGCTGAAACTGGGAACAGCGTTGGCGTTCTGGAGCACGAGGCCAGAGTAACTGTTGGAAGAGGCACCGCAGTTACTCAGGGTGTCGAGCCCAAGTGACATTCGCGGAACGGCACGTCACAGCCCAGGGTGTTCCTGTGCCCCGGCTGTGCACACACGCGCCTTTTCTGCTGAGTGTGGAAGAGCTGAGGATTGGAGATCGTTATTCTCTTCTGCTCTTGGCTCGGACTTGCACAGCTGGAAGGCAGGAATTTGACTGTCAGCCAGTGCAAAATGCTGTCAGTCTCTAATGACGTTATGATGTCCTCTTACAGGCTAATATTGGCCAAATGGATACACCCAAAGAGCTCTGGAGGATGATAACAGGGAACATGGCTTTGATACAGGTAAGGAAAAGTGAGAGTAGAGTGGAAACATTGGCAGCTGGTGCAAGCCCAACTGTGACAAGTGTCAGGAGGTTTAAATGCCTGAGTTTTGCTATTGACTGTCCATATTGCGTGTCTGATGGGGAGGCAAATGGCAGCTTTTTTGTCCCACAGTCATCTCCCCATAACCCTGTGCTCTATAGGTTAGACTCGGTGTTTCCCTGCTGGGGGCTAACCCGCCAGGACTGGTGCCGGGGGTGGTGGCTCCCTCTTCCCTCACTCCAGGACCATTTTACTCTCTGATCCTCTTGGTGACTGTCGAGTTTTTCTTTTCAGGTTCAGGCTACTGTGGTTGGCTTCCTGGCCTCGATCGCAGCAGTGGTATTCGGATGGATCCCAGATGGGCACTTCAGCATTGACCACGCTGTCCTGCTCTGTGCCAGCAGTGTGGCCACTGCTTTCATTGCTTCTCTGGTCCTGGGTGAGAGGCAGACCCTGCACACCCTCCCTGCCCCTCTTCCTGAAGTGCAGGGCTCCCCTCGGCCTCATCCTGTTTTCTTCCTCCTTTTGGCTGCAGGCATGATCATGATTGGGGTCATCATTGGATCCAGGAAGATGGGGATCAATCCTGATAACGTCGCCACACCGATTGCTGCCAGCCTGGGGGATCTCATCACGCTGGCTCTGCTTTCAGGAATCAGCTGGGGCTTGTACAAAGAGCTGGGTGAGGAGCATCAAAAGCCCTTTGTCTCTCCCTGGTCCTTCCACGTGCTGCTTTGTCTCCCTCTCATTTCACCCTCTTCCTTCACCCTTTCTGTTCTCAGGGTGTATAGGGTGCCTGGCCTAGAAGCTCCCTCAGTTAGTGAGAACTGATAAGGGGAGGAAGGAGACATTCTTACTGCCTTGTAGCTGCAGGCAGCCTTGGCAGTCATCTCTGTACTTCCTTCTCACCAGGTGAACTGGGAGGGGAGAGATTGGCCCCTTCCAAGCACCAGGGGCTTGACTCTGGCTGCAGCAGTGTGCGAAGGCAGCTGTGGATTTCATCTTTTGTCCTCAGCGCCCGCTGGGGATCCTCCTGCAGAGCTGCAGCTGTAGACTCTAGACTTCCTCCTGCCTCCCTTCCACCTTCCTTCCCTAGTGCCGGGGATGCAGGGATGTGACTCAGCCAGGTTCAGCCAGAGGTGAAGCAACGCAGGGAGGTCTTCCTCAGGAGTGGCAAGTGGGAAGGAGCGGTTGGGATGGAAGAGGTTTCACTCAGATCTGTTGATAAAGCCCTTGTGAGCATACCAGGAGAAGGAAATGCCACGTGGTCCTGGTTTCAGCTGGAATGAAGTTAATTTTCTTCCTAGCAGCTGGTACAGTGCTGTGTTTTGGCTTTAGGATGAGAATAACATTGATAACACACTGATGGTTTAGTTGTTGCTACGCAGTATTTGCACTAAGTCAGCTTCTTGTCCTGCCCTGCTGGTCAGCGGGTGGTGAGCAACTGTACCGTGCATCACTCGTTTCGTATACTCTAATATCTTTTTTTTTTTTTTCATTCTCTTTCTGTCATATTAAACTGTCCTTATCTCAATCCACAAATTTTACTTTATTTTTTTCCTGATTCTCTCCCCTATCCTGCTGGCGGGGGGAGCGAGTGCTTAGTGGCCAGCTGGGGTTAAACCACAACACGTGTCCCGCAGGGCTGGGACTGCCCTGGTGTGGTGTCCCTGTCCTCACCCGAGTGCCTGGCTCCAGGGGTGACGGGAGCTCAGCTGAAGCAGTGCCCTGCCTCGCTGCGGCAGGACGTGTCCTTGATACGGTGCCTCCGCTGATTTCCCCCTCAGAGAGCAAAGCCTACGTGAACCCTTTGGTGTGCGCCTTCTTCATAGCTCTGCTGCCCATCTGGATCATCATCGCCAAGAAGAACGCGGCCACCCGAGAGGTGCTGTACTCCGGCTGGGAGCCCGTCATCATCGCCATGGCCATCAGCAGGTAGGAGGGCGTGGAAGAGTTCCTCACCCCAAACACGGGCAGACAACGCGCCCTTTCCTTGGTAGATGCTGGAACAAGAGAGAAACAAACCTCTTGTGCTTGCGCAGTGTGTCAGGGGATTTAGGCTCTCATGGTTTTTGGCAGCGAGGAGAAAAGATCCTGCTGGAACTATCTTCTGTTATCGAATACTGAGATTTAAAATCGTGTTGGGTGCGTGTTAGGAAGAGTATAGATCGCCCTCGGGTACAGGCACCACTGAAGGGAGAACCCTCAGTGCTTTGTGTGGGTGTTTCCTAACGAGCTTTCAGCACCGACCTCTTCAATCTTCCCTCTGCAGTGTTGGGGGCTTAATTTTGGACAGAACGGTCTCAGATCCAAACTTTGCTGGCATGGCTGTCTTCACACCGGTTATTAACGGTGAGTTCCTTTCCCCTCTGGTCTTGCAGCCCTTGGGGACTCTTGGCAAACAGTGGAATTGCTCCATGTGCCTCGTTTCAGGCAGGTGAAGGAGAGTTTTGTCCCTGTTGGTTGCGGGGAAGCTGTGGTGGTTTGACTCTACGGCAGCGTGGCTCCCCCTGGTGCCAGCCCTTCACCCGAAGGTGACTGCCCGGGGACGCTCTTGCCTAAAAGACACATTTTCCAGGGGCCCAACAATTTTCTGATTCCTCCTGGCTGATGGAAGACCCCCATCTTCCAAGATAGGTGCCTTGTGGCACACAGTGACAGAACAGATTTCATTTTGCAGCTCCGAGTCAGGAAATGTTTCTGGTATAAAGCTTTGGTGCCCTTCCTGCTTAATGAACCAGGGAAACTCTTTAGTAATATTATTATGTTTACTTTCTGCAATAAACAGAGTTAATTTTGAGCCGGTGCATCTTGTGCTAGTGGGTTCCACGGTTTCACTATGCCTCATGCAAAAAAAAATTGTTTTAAACTTCCTGTGTCTGTTTTGGTGGCTGATTCATCATTTTTTTGTTTCACATATTTCTCCCAATCTAACCTGCGGTAATAGGATCATATCGATTTTACTAAGGGGAAACCATAGTACAGTGTGCTTTGTCTGAGCTCTGTGCATCCTGCAGAAGTGGAATTCAGGTCAAAAATAGACTGTCCTACATTATTCCAGCAGCTGACAATCCCAGCTCTGCCGGCTGTTGAAAATAGCTCTTTCTCTTTCAAGTGTTTGAGACGTGCTCTTGCTGCTCTCTCCTTCTCTGCAGGTGTGGGTGGCAACCTGGTGGCGGTGCAGGCCAGTCGCATCTCCACTTACCTGCACATGAGCGGGATGCCCGGGGAGAGCTCCGAAACAGCCCCTCGCAAGTGCCCCAGCCCTTGCAGCACTTTCTTCAGCTCAGGTATCCGAGCTGGGTGTTGAAATGAGTTGATTTCTGCCCACAGTGGTTGCTGGAGCTGCCTGGCTGAGCTTCTCTGGGACGGTCCCCAGGGAGATGTCGTGGGAGATGGGGGCTGATGCCTGCCCGGAGCAGCTGCCAGCTCACGGATGCGGCTGCTCCCCTGGCCTGCCCTGACCTCTAGAGATGGTCAAACCTTCAGCAAAGCTGCTGTGCCAGAGGACATCGTTCTCCTGGCTGAGGGAGAACGTGGTGCAGAAGTCCCATGCCCTGACTGTCGAATACTGTAAATCCTCCACCTTCTCAATCTTTTCCAGATGGCTCCAGGATACTGAAACCTTCCTTGAGGCTGCTCAGGCATTGCAGCTCCACTGGGCTTACAGAGCTGCAGTTACAGAAAGCTTCCTAGCAGCTCTGTTGTTTGCAGCAGAGCGCAGCCCAAACTCACATTCCAGCTCTGAGTGCGGGCAGAGGTTTTTACTCTCCAAACATGCTAGAAAGGCTCGTTAGCCTGCAGCCCGAGTCCTGGCCTTCTGTCCTGTTGTTCTAAGGCTGTCCCTGAAGAGCAAGGAGCTGCCTTGTCCCCTGGAGCCTGGGGAGGCTGCAGAGTTGCTGTGTGCTGCCTCAACTCCAGCTTTGTTTCCTTGCAGATGTGAATTCCCGCTCTGCTCGTGTGCTTTTTCTTCTGGTGGTGCCTGGACATTTGGTTTTCCTTTATACCATCAGCTCCATGCAAGGTGGACACACTACGCTCACCCTGATTTTCATAGTTTTCTACATGACAGCTGCACTTCTGCAGGTAAGCTGGAGCCTTTGGGGGGGCTGTCACCCCTCCAGCTGGAAAAGGGGACGCTGCCATGTCATCTGCAGTGGGGACCTGTTCAGCCAGTTAAGTTTTAGATATGTTGCCAAAGGCACAGTGATATACCCTGCCCCTAGGTAAGGGATTTATGTGCTGGGGAGAGAGACACCGAGTAGATTGTATTTGTGAAATGAGCTGGTATCAAACTGAATAAATCCTTCGTTGTTGATACTTGCACACACAAGTTCTCCTTCCTGCCATTCTTGGCAAGTTTTGAATCTGTCTTGTGCCTTATTTTAAGCCCTTCTGATGGCAGAAGTGTTTCCCTCGTGTGTGTTAATCTATCCTGTAAGGTTCTTTAGCAGTTTTAAAACTGATGGTGAAGAAAACGGGACCATGGAATGTGCAGGGACCCCATGCCTTGTCCTGCCCTTTCCCTGCCTCCCCTGCAGGGTAGAGACCTGACAGTTCTGAGGGTCGTGCACAGACCAGGGTGTTTATGCTACAGAAATCCAGCAGCCACGTGCAGGAGCCTGGCTGCCTGCGCTGGAGGCCAGGAGGGACCCCCCCAGTCAGGGAGTTTCCTCCTAAACCCAGCTACCGCCCTCCCAGCTCACCCCTTCCGCTCCTGGAAGCTGTGCCTGGCTTCAGCATCCCCTAAAATGAACCGCCGAAGCCAGCCTGAGGAAATGAATCAGCGCGTCCATCAGAGGCAGGAGCAGCGTGCTCTCACCCAGGAGGCTAAATTTAGGTTGCCAAGTCCTGCTGGGTGCTCGGGCGCTTGGAGGGTGTTTCCGCTCGCAGCCGCTCTGTGCCGGGCGGAGCAGCAGGAGGACGGGTTGTGCTGACAGTTGTGGTCCCAAGGGAGACCCTCCCAGACCTAAGGCTTGACAGGATACAAAGCAGATTTCTTCAGCCTGTAGAGACTGATCCGAGCCTCTCTCTCACTGTGTTGAAGCAGACGGGGGAGAACATCCCGCTCTGGTAGTTTGGGCTGCTGGGCAGTTGCTCTTTTATTTCTGGAACTGAGGTGTCGCTGTCCCTGCCTGAGCGTCCTGTGTGCTTCCGAGTCCCCTCTTTGCCCCATATCTCTTCAAGCTTCGAAAACTGAGGTGTAAAATTTAAACTTTTTGCTTGCCAGTGTTATCCCTTCGAAGCCTAAATCTGATGGTGGCATGTGCAGCTGAAGAAGGGTAGGGCAGAGGCTGTTGAGGACGTGGGATTTAGAGGCACAGGGACCCCCTGAAGCTCGCTGGGTTCCTCTCCGTGCTGTGCTTGTTGCTTTGGGGGTGCAGCCCAGAGCGCAGCACTCGGCGAGGCGGTTCTGAGCTCCACCAGCTCCCTCCATCAGGGCGCGGTTGTGTCTCTGAGCCCGACTGTCCCAGCTGGAGTTGCCCCAGCTGAAGCTCCGTGGAGGCTGGGATTGCAGAGGTCAGGATTTGTGGCTGATGTGGCTCTTTTCTTCCCGCCTCCCAGGTTCTCATTCTTCTGTACATTGCTGACTGGATGGTGCACTGGATGTGGGGCAGGGACCTCGATCCTGACAACTTCTCCATCCCATACTTGACAGCGCTGGGGGACCTGATTGGAACAGGGCTCCTCGCTCTCAGCTTTCACATCCTCTGGCTCATCGGTGACCGGGACTCCGATGTGGGAGACTAGCTCTCCTTCTCACAGCTCTCCTCCTTCTCATTTTATTGTTGTTTCTTTTCCTCCACCCTTGCTCTTTGTCGCTTCCTCCCCCCACCCTGTCTCTCTTGAGACTTCATCTTTGATACTGGATTCTCATTATTTTCAATGGGAATTTTATGTGGTTTATATTTCAAGCCAAGTTTGTACAGAAAATAAATCTAGTTTTAGGAAGGACAAAAAAGAAAAAAAGTGTAATGAGACAATCACCAAGTGCAATTTCATAGTAGTTATGTCTGAACCAAGGTTACAGTGAAGATACTGATCAGTCAGATTGTGCAGGGACCCCACCCTGTCCCAGTCACTAGAGGTGAGGGGCTGCTTTTTTCGCTTCATAAGCGTTTTAAATACGGGAGGTGAGGTTCAGATTTGTTTTTTTTTGAACAGGCACCTTCTAGCAAAGTACAACCGCATGGATGAGGGCGTGGGATAGCGCCTGTCTGCTCTGCCCTGTCGCCCTCCTCCCTTGTGTTCGCTCTCTGAATCTCCCTCCTGTACCCAGCATCCCAAACCCACGGGTCTCTGGCGAGTGAAGAAGATGAGGAAGGGTCCTCTACACCGAAACACCCATCCCTGCATGCCCGTGAGGCAAGTGAGTGGTCTCGGGTTCGAGGACTGCAGAGCCCTGACATCTGGCTGAGTGCTGCTGATGGGCCCATCACAGCTGGGAAGAAGCCACCCAATACCTCTCTCCTGGTGAGCCCGAAGCGTTTCAGACTCGGGAGCGATGGGCTCTTGGTGTCTCTTAGGACAGGACACCCGTGTCAGCCACTGGATTTCTGTGTGTAGCTGCCAGCTGGAAGACAGGTCAGTGGGCACAGTCAGATTTCTGCAGTCCTGGCTCTTGGTGCAGCTCGGCACGGGACTGGAGGAAGGGAACGCGATTGCACTTAAACAGGCATGTAAGATCCAGGATCAGGGTTACAGCCCAGCCTGTCAGCACTGGCTGAGCGCTGCAGGCACAGCATTCCCTGCTCTCTTTCTGCCCCCGTGGCTTTTTGTGCTGTTCAGCTCGGTGCTGGCTGAGATGCCTTCACTTCTGCTGCTCCTGCGTGTTGGAAGGACTCTGGTGCAGTCTGCAGCAGCATCGTGAGAGAAAACCTATTTTGGCTGTGTGACTGAGGTTTGTACATGATCTTCCTGAATGCTGTCGGCACTCGAGGCTTTTTAGTTTTCCCATTTGGATATAAATCAATGCAGTAAACTGAGTGCAGTTTCCTGTAAGCAAGTCTTATCGACTTGGAGACTTCACCTGGTTACACCAAGTTGAAATGATGTGTTCAGGCAGACGGCGCTATTAAACAGCACATGAATATAAATTGAATGCCTGAGTGTGCATGGGGGGAGAGCTCTTACCGTCCGTCAGGGATGGGCAAGGTACGGTGTGTCACATGGAGCCTGACTTCAGTGCTGCACTGCGCAAAGCCTGGGGAGCTGCCAGGCCCTTCCCAGGCGCTGGGCAATAATGCCCACAGCACCTTCCGTCCTGACCCTGAAATGACAGCAGAGCTCTTGTTTTAATTACCTGTGCAGGCTCTGCCCCTGGGCTGGACGCTGCTTGTCGTGGTTATTTGCAGGTAACGTAAAAGCTGCTGGAGTTCCTCCTGCTTTAAGCATGTTCCTCACAGCAGAACACGACCATCCTTGATCGACCTAATTCCCTCCTTCAGGTTAACTTGTGTGTTTCTCCTACAAACCAGTGCTGCTCATCTCCCTTGGGCTTTCTGTGCCAGTAATGCCAGGCATCTCTGCTCGGCTGAAAGGTGGCCCTGGGAACGCTGATCTTCATCCAAAATAAGGCCAGGGTGGGAGATCTGTTTGTTACTCTGGACAATGCCAGAGCGAGCTGAGCTCTACAAAGCCCTGCCCAAGTGCAGACAGTTCTGCTTTTTCGGTAAAGAGCAATTTGTTAGGAACCGTTCCTGCTTCCTCCCAGAAAGCAGAACTGATGCTCTCCTTAGGGTCCAAGTCAAGACCAAAGTTAGTCTGGGCATTGTCCCAGTCCAGAGATATGGTTGTAGAGCTGGTCCTTGCTCTGGAGATGAGTGTGTTGGAAAGGAAGGTGGGGATTTGGGAGTGGGAAGCCAGTTCTGGAAAGGCTGGGGAGCAGATGTATCCCAACCAAAGGGCGGCCAGGCAGGCCCTTGCCTGCTGAGGGACCTCGCTGAGCTTGTAGAAGGATTCTCTCCCGCTTCAGTGGGTTTGTCCTGAGAGCTGCTGCCGAAGCTGTTCCTAGTGGTCAGGAAGCGGAGACGGGATCCTTGCCCTCTCGGGCTGCTCACTCTCAGACCCTCAGAAGAGCAGGTGACACGTTTTTGAGATGGTTTTCCCCTTTCTACTTTGCTGACCTAACCTGAGGCTTGCTTTTCCCCTTCCCCATCTTTGCACCATGGCCTTGGTGGCAGCAGCTCTCAACCTTGTACTCTCGACCCCAGTGACATGACTTCACGACTTCTCACAGATTGTGTTTGGCCAAAGCTCTGTTCAAAAAGA